TTCGTGATAATAAGAAAAGCAATACAAATCACCATAAGGGTTTCTAACACAACATCAAAATCTTCACCAGTTATAATGACTACTAGTGGACATGGGGATGAAGCCATGTTTTAATGTTAGAGATTATCAAGGCAGTAATAGTGGCAGGTTTCTACCTCATTTGGGAGTACAATTTGTTTAGAACCAACAGTCAAAATCTAAATGTGCCAAATTCATATTCCATATCTTGCTCGTCAATTTCTTTAATGGAAATGCTTACATGCATTGTCATTTTTTGTCTATGGGTTGCCCTCATTCTTATCCCTCGTGTATGTCATTCGTTCGCAGTTTCCCTGGCATCTCTTCTCATAAAGATCCTAAGGAAGATGAAGACTGTATCTGGAGATCTGAAGATGCATCTCATGATTGGCACCATTTCGTTACTTCTAACTTTGGCTCCAACAAATTCGACAATATTGAACTGCAGAAGCAGCATGAGTCGCTGAATCATCTTGCTAGGTTTCCTTCTACTCTTGAAAGGTTTAAATTTGTGAATTTTTACAATTATAGATCTTAAGAATCAATTACTGCTTTTAATTAGAAATGTCCCCATCTAGATGTGGATTACCATTTCGCTTTTCAGTAGATGCCGGAGTCGGAGAAGAAACAGGGAGCTGTGCTTTCTAGATTTCTGTATATGTTGCAATTGATTAACCTCTACAGCTGTTTTTCTCAAAAACCCACTTCTAATTTCTCGCCCCAAGCCCCAAAACCCAACACCCATTACTTGTTGAAGCAAACCGATGAGCAAGAACAACCCCAATTTGAAGAAGAAGAAGAAAAGCTACGTAGATCCACTCAACACAAATAAAAACAAAAAGCTCAAACATTAGAATCAAACCTCAAGACTCAACACAAATAACCATAAATCACATCTAAGAAAAAGAAAGAGAAGAGGTAGTAGTCAAAGGAGATACAGAAGGATCAGTCGAGTCCATGGTCGGAGGCAAACTTTACGTCAACAAAGAATTGCTCTTTTGCTCTCACCGCGCAACAGGCTACACCGGTGATTGCCTATTCAACGTAATGATATCTCTCTTAGCAATATAATTGTTGAACTTGCTGTGGAACATGATGAAATAGATGAAGAGGATGAGAAAACCCAGATCTGGAGAAGATGACGAAAGGAAAAGAGAGAGAGATCTGGGTTTTCTCAAAATCTAGCATTGGTGCACACCCAAATTCGCTTAATCTCTGTAAAAAAAAACCCAAAATGGTGAAATGGAAAAATGTAATGGGAAGAGATGTTGGAGGAGATGGAGAAGGAATGATGGCCTAAGGACAAGAGAGAGACAGAGGGGAAGAGTGAAGAAGAATAGGCCTAAGGACGAGGGAGAGAGAAAGGGGAAGGGTGAAGAAGAACAGGAGAATAAGGAAGAAGAAGGTTAATTTTGGAAATAATTTTAGTTAATTAATAATAATTAATCTCTTATTTATTTGTTAAAATTAAAAATGCCACGTAAACAAAAAAAAGTGCCACCTCATCAACGTACATATGTTTTCTTTTCCATGTCAATATTTTTTTTAAAAAAGTATAATTTTTTAGCAACTTAACGTGCCACCTGTCATTTAATTGACGGAATGACTATTTCAGTACCGAAAATGAAAGTTTAAAGATAGTTTTGGTACTTTTTAAAGTTGAGGAACAATTTTGGTGCCAAAGTAAAAAGTTGAGGGACCAAAATGATACTTTAATCATTTTTATTTGATCTACTAATAATTTTTTTATGTTTGCAGATTATTAAGCTTAAAATCATTTTATGAGGTGAATTCGCATTTTGATTTATATTTTTCATTTCCTTTTACTTAAATAAAATCTTATAATGCACAATAATGCTTTTTGCTTTTTCTTTTACAGATATTTTTACTTTATTATAGGTAAATTACTTAT